TATTTTGTGAGCCCCTATCTTTCAACAGCTCTTCTGGAGCCTCCGCTGGGCCTACATGTTAGGGTTCCTGTTTTGTGGGGTCTAGTACCCTGGAACATCACTCTCATAAGGGGAGGTGGTATGGGGAAGGCGCCTAGGTTTGGAGTGGGCCTAACTTTGGTCTCATCTTGAGTCTGGCCTCCTAGACTGCCCACAGTGGCTCACCTGTGAGCAAGTACAGAGTGGGACCCTTCTATGGTGGCTTGTCTTTGTTATTACTTGTTCATTCTACTATCTCATGCTCACCACAGGTTCTCACGTCCAGGGCATCTCCTAGAGGCATCATAGAGTGTGGGGCTGGGCAGGCCTATTCCAGGAGCAGCAGGTGGTTGGGGGGCTGGCTAGCCCAGGGAGAAGTTCCTGTAGTGGGGCCCTTCCTTAGCTATGTGCTTCCCTGCCCATAGCTTTGCTTGTGAGAATGCTTTGGTGGAGTTGGCATCCTTACCTGTGACCATACCTGTGGGGCTTACCAGCTTTACATGGTAATCACTCACCACTAGGGACTTTAACCAAGACCCCTGCCCAGCTTCAGTACCCCAGACTAGGGGAGATTGACAGTTATTTCTACTCAGCACCCCTGGGCTGAAGGCTCAGCCATACAGAAAGCCAGACTCATGGGCCCTTAGAGCTCAGTGAGGTCTGCTGTCAAGGATCCACACTGTGACAGCAGGAGAGGTTAGCACTGTGGGGTGTGGTGCCACAATGCTGTGGAGCTGTTTATTGTTGTTACTTCCTTGTGGTATTTTGCCATTTTTTTAGGGGTGGGCACTTTCCTTCTGTTTACTAAATTGTCCCTAGTTAAAAAAAAATAGTGTTAAGACTATGGGAGAAAGTTGGACCTTCCTTGTACCAGATAAATGCAAGCTATTTTATTGCGTTATATTTTAAATCAGATATATTTGCCCCTGATTGGTAAATGACTTGGTTTGGAACTCTGAAAGATCACCTTGGTCAGCTCATGTGCTAAATGAGAGGGGGTGCAGGGTCACTTATTTGTTGCCTTAATGACAATCAGTGAATTCTTCAACAAATCCCAGGTTCCACAAAAATCCCATTGTTTTGGCTTCAGCAAAAGGAATAAAAAAGCTAAAGGCAAGCACATATTCCTTGAGCTGTGCCCCCAAAGGCTGACTTCCTTCTGCGATGCGGTGACCTTTGGTGAGCCCGTGCTATGGGCTCTGGGTTTACTCCCATCCAGCCCTAATGCAGGCAAAGCCTAGTTAGGAGGCCAAAGCAGGGAAAGACCTTTATCAGAGCATGTGCAAAAGCCTGTCTCAGTCCCTTAAAACAAGTCTGCAACAGAGTGTCTTACATTTTCTGGTGTTTTTTTTCCCAGACCTGAAGGAATTTCTCACCTCATACTCGACTAGACTAAGCACACAGTGCCTGCTGATTTTTCTCAGCTTCCTGCCCTGCTTCCTCCTGAAATGCATCATCAGTGAAGGAGAGATTGCTGCCTGGCCTGCAAGAGCCTAATTCGAAATTCACACCGGCAGGACCTTACTGTCCCTGGATCTGTTGAAAAAGCATGTCTTGTGCATCCTCTTTAGTTTTCTGTGTTGTAAGTAATATATTTGCTTGATTTTGTATAAATCAAAGTATTACATAAATAATTTTATTAATAAACATTATCATGAAAGAGCCTTTTTTGCTTCCCTAAGCCTTATTTCTAGGTACATGACTTAGCCTCACATGAGTAAACACTAGAGGCAGGGACCTCTTCAACTCTACATCATCTGTGATTTCAGAGGAGACTGAGCAGGCAGACCCTCCCAAATAACAACTCCTCTCCAACACCCCTAGCCTCCATGTGTAGATGCACTAGAGATGCTGTAACCTAACCTAAATAGATGCTGTAAATTGCCTATATATGCAGGCAGCCTAGCATAGACTAACTTTTATTTAGAATTCATAACTTTGCTTAGATTAACCTGTAAACCCACTTAGAACACCCTAGGTTTTATAAGGTTTGTGTAACCACATCCTGTAATTTGCTAAGAGTTTAACAGAAGGGACTTAATTGGTTAAACTTCCTTCCATACCTATACCATCCCTGACATTGACGATTGCCAGAACTGTCTTTTCAGGGACAAGCTCAGGATGATTTGCAGAACCAGGGGGTTGATCTGGCTGAAACCACCCAAGGCTGGCCAAAGTGGCCTGGAGGACTCTGTACTGACCTCTTCATGAACTTTTCTCATTATACCCTCACTGTAATACTAAAATGTCCTCCTAGAGGTAGAGATTGTCTGCCATTTTTGAATGAATATGTGATGTATGTATAGACATGTTTTCTAACTGTATATGAGCAGGAATATCCCCACCTATACCTGCAATGAGGAAGCTCTTCTCAATGTTTACGCATGACTTTCCTGAATAAAAACTGTTAATATAAAAACATTCAAACCTATAAAGAATTTTTGTGAGTTTATTTGAGCCAAACTGGCAATTGCCCAGAAGCAGAATCTCAATGGATTGGGATAATGCTCCAGAAAATGGCGGCCCTTTACCTTGTTTGATATATCACAATCAAAGGAGGAGATGTAAGTGGGTTACATGAAATCCATTGGTGATAGATTAGGGAGGTGGGAGAAAGCAAAGGGGGGTACCTCTGGGATTGGATAAAAAGTGCAATGATGGACACATGCTTCTTTTACATAGGTGGGTATAGGATAGTTAACAGTCGACAATTAACAGCATAACAATAACAATAAGGGAATTTGTGGTCTCTGTCTTAGTGCCACTTGTTGTGCCCTGAGGGATCCAGGAAAAGGGAAGTTACAAGTTACCCTGACATTCCACAGGTATGTTATCTTAAATGCAAAAAGACATTAGGCTCAGTAAAGATTGAAGTTGATCTTTGTTAGGGAAAATACTGGCCTAGGACATGACTACCCACTATAAACTGCTTTTAGTTAAATTTTTAATTTCAGACCATCATTTGTGGTTTTGAAGCAATGAAGCATAGCAACATTCATCTCGGGTAAAAAACAAACAAACTGCTGTTTGCTGGCTTCTGTACACACCTGCTTGCTTAAACAATAGGGTAGTTACTTCAGTTTCCAGATTGAGACCTGGAAACATATAAATCACCCCATTGATTGTAGTTTTACTGGTCTATCAAAACACATTCCTCTGCACCTGGAGACCAGGACAGCACAATTGCTCTAATTGCTTCAGTGGCTCCAGAAAATGTGTTTTCCATTGACTCAGTGGTCCCAAGACCTGACTAGGACAGCATAATTACTTTAAATTGCTTCAATGGCTCCAGATAATGTGTTTCCGTTGACTCAGTGGTCCCAAAACCTGAAACTATAATTAATCTTTGTAGATAACTAACTTGCTCAATTTAGCTTCTGTAACAAACTGCTTTTTGCAAACCAGGTTCCTCATTCCAAACATCGAGATGTAATCAATACCTTTGTGATATTTGCCTATATAAGTCTGATGTTTCTGCCAAGGGGGCACTATGATATTTGGAGAGCATTTGCCCCCTTGTAGTCCCAGCTTTGAAATAAATGTGGCTCCTTAATTCGACTTCTTGAGGCGTCCTTCACGGGGTACATTACAACAGTTTCTTTAGGTCTTTGAGTTTGCCAAACTGCCTTGCAGGCCTTCCCTGAGGTAGTCAGGTTAGCATGTGGCCTTTTTTTTTCCCCCCTCCACTAAACAAATCCTATCCTTTGTTTGGGAACAGCTGCTTTGGGAGAAGTGACATTCACCTCCCCTTGTGTGTCCTTACCTGCTGGCTATAAACTACATTCCTTCTCATTGTTACAGAGTAGGAAAATTTTTAGGCCTGCTTAATTAACAAACAGATCAACACTCCTGAGCAGCAGACCCACAAAGAACAAACAGATCAAAAGTAAGAATAGTCCTTACCTTTAAGTTACCCAGAAATGAATAACAGGAGGATGATGATTAGCTTGGCTAAAACTACGCAATTAGCTTTTGTAACTTGGCTTTGCTTGCTATGGGAACCTGAATACGGATGTAGTTGTCCCCTTTAAATATTGGACTCTGCAGATGGTCGGGGCCACTTCTCCCTTGGGCTTCCCCAGTGGAGGAGCAGACGCTGGCCAGTCAATAAAGGCTCTCTAAATCTTAATCAGTCTGGAGTTCTGGTCATTCTGACACTCGCGATCCACAACATTTGGAGGCCCCCAGCGAGATAACTGGCCATTGACCGGGTCCCGTGACCAGAGTCCAGGAAAGACATCCAAACTCCCGGACCTAGGGGGAGATCTCTGAGAGACGTTCCTCAGCCCCGGACCGATAGAGTTTGGCAGGTCTGTCCAAAAATTGTCTAATTGACTTCAGTTGGAGCCATCTGGATCTGATTCTTACCGGTAAGAAGACTCAATTCTTTTGAGTCCTGATTCTGGTTCTGTGGGCCCGTCAGAGGTCTCCGGAAGGCTGGACGCAGCACTACTTCCGTTAAGACCAGATCCTGGTGCACGATGGTGCCCGGAGATCCTGAGTCTAGTTGTTATTTGTCTTGTCTGCGTCTGTTGTTGCATCCAATTTGTTTTTTGTTGTCAGAATGGGTCAATCAGCTTCATCTACTACCTGTACCCCCTTTAAATGTTTTTTGAAAAATTTTCAGGACTTCAAGCGAAGAGCCGAGGGCTACGGAGCCCCTGTTAACGCTTTTGATTTACAGAAATTCTGTGAGCGTGAATGGCCAATGTTCCCGCAGATCGAGTGACCTCCTGAGGGGTCGACCAATTTGGGTTTAGCCTATCAGGTCCAGGCTATAATTTTTGGAAACCCCGGGCACCTGGACCAAATGGTGTATATTCAAATTTGGATAGATGTCTTAACTGATAATCCTAAATGGCTTCAGGATTGCCAAAAACACTCAGAAAAGAAAAAGAAATTGGGACAGAGACAGACTGTCCTCCTCACTTCACCTCCCAGGGAGGCTGAGAGGAAGCCCCTTGTCCTCCCACCTCCACCAGAGGACCCCATCCTGGCAGAGCTGCCCCCGTATCCGTCAGCCCCGGTGGCGGCTCCCCCTGAAGATCCTCTGAGTCCATCTCATACCCGCAGTGGGGCAGAGAACCGACCCCCACACTCAGCCCCCTCTCTGGACTCCTCTGGAGCCCCAATGTTGCCTTTGCGCCAGGTGGCCTCCCCCAACGGGGAGGAACGACCTTTTATGGTTTACTTCCCTTTCTCGACCAGTGACCTCTACAACTGGAAGAATCAGAATCCCTCTTTTTCTCAGAATCTGCAGGGATTAATCTCTCTCTTGGAGTCTGTCTTTTTCACCCGCTAGCCCACTTGGGATGATTGCCAACAGCTCCTCCAGACCCTTTTCACCTCAGTGGAGAGACAGCGAGCGAGTCAGGTTGGAGGGAAGGAAATTGGTTCTTGGCCCCGACGGCCAACCCTCTTCAGAGTCAGCACAGCTCGAGGCTATCTTCCCACTCTCCCGCCCCTCGTAGGACCCCAACACGGAGCGAGGTAAGGAGGCTCTCGATCAGTATCGCCAGACTCTGCTGAGGAGAATCCGAGCGGCTGAGTGGAAACCCACCAATTTGTCTAAGGTAACTGAAACTGTACAGGGACCGAATGAATCTCCCGCCGCTTTTCTAGAGCACCTGTGTGAAGCCTACAGGCTCTACACACCCATAGATCCTGATACGCCTGAGAATCGGCGGGCAGTTAACATCGCTTTCGTGCCCCAGTCGGCCCCAGACATTAGAAAGAAATTACAAAAGTTAGAAGGCTTTGAGGGAAAAGTGCTGTCAGAATTGGTTGAGGTTGATCAAAAGGCATTTAACAATAGAGAAGATTCAGAGACTGTGCAGACTCGGAAAATGGCAAAGGTCCTGGTAACTGTCATGCAAGAGGAAAGAGACGGGAATCAGAGAAAGGGAAGGAAGTTCGGGAAAGAGGACAGGCACCCAAGATGCTCTGATTTAGGGAAGGACCAGTGTGCGTACTGCAAGGAAAGGGGTCATTGGAAGAAAGACTGTCCAAAAAAGCCTCAGCAACGCCCAACCCCGGTACTAGTCAAAGAAGTAGACTGACGGGGACGGGGCTCCATCTCTATTAGCCCCCAGGAGCCTAGGGTCACCTTAAAAGTTGGGGGCAAACCCATGGACTTCCTTATAGACATTGGAGCTACTTACTCCGTCCTACAGCAGGCAGAGGGCCCGGTGTCCAAAGAATGAACCCCCATTCAGGGAGCCACGGGGAAGACTAAATCTTACCCATGGACCCAGGCCCAAATTACCAACCTGGGGGCCGGGACAGTGACCCACTCATTCTTAGTGATGCTGGAGTGCCCGTACCTGCTACTGGGAGGGGACCTTCTCAGCAAACTGCAGGCTACCATCTCCTTCCAAGAGGAAATGGCTACAGTGACTTTTAATCAGAGACCGGGGACTATACTTTTGACTTGCCCCTTGAGCAAGGAATATCACCTCGCTGAAGGAACCGAGAGCAACAATCCGGTCCCAGATGCCCCATTACTCCAAGAGCTGCAACAGAAAATACCTGGAGTATGGGCAGAGAGTAACCCCCCAGGATTGGTGGTCCACAGAGCCCCAATTGTGGTACAACTCTCCAGCACAGCAATTCCAGTACGGGTTAAGCAATATCCAATAAGCCAAAAGGCCCGAAGAGGCATCGCAGTCCACATAAAAAGACTGAAAAAAGCAGGAATCTTAGTCCCTTGCTACTCTCCGTGGAATACCCCATTGCTTCCTGTACAGAAACCAGGAATGGAGGACTTCAGACCCGTTCAGGACTTAAGAGAGGTCAATAAGAGGGTAGAAACTATACATCCCACAGTGCCTAATCCATATACCCTCCTGAGCCTGTTACCTCCCCATCATCAGGAATACACAGTTCTAGACCTAAAGGATGACTTCTTCTCCCTGCCTCTGGCCTCATCCAGCCAGCCCATTTTTGCTTTTGAATGGATGGACCCAGACGAAAGGGAATCAGGACAATTGAGCTGGACTCGGTTACCCCAGGGGTTCAAAAATTCCCCCACTCTGTTCAACGAAGCCCTCAGCCAGGACTTGGGCCTGTTCAGGCAGGAACATCCAGAAGTCACCCTACTCCAGTATATAGATGACCTCCTCCTTGCCGCGGCAACCCAGAGCAAGTGTAGGGAGGCTACTGAAGCCCTGTTGAGAACCTTGGGCAAAATGGGGTACTGGGTGTCTGCTAAAAATGCCCAACTTTGCACCCCTAAAGCCACTTACCTGGGGTATGAACTCAGCGGAGGAATAAGGACTCTGTCGACTAGCCGAATACAGGCTATCATGCAAATCCCTGTCCCCAAGACAAAGAAGCAGGTGTGGGAATTCCTCAGAGCAGTAGGATATTGCCACCTTTGGATATTAGGTTTTGCAGAAATAGCAAAACCCCTGTATACCTGCACCGGGGGGAAGACTGAGAAACTAAACTGGATTGAAATTGAAATTAAGGCTTTTCGAGATCTTAAACAAGCCTTAGTCAGCGCACCAGCGTTAGCGCTGCCAGACCTCACAAAGCCATTTCAGTTACATGTGGCAGAGGCTCGGGGAATCACACAGGGGGTGTTAACCCAATCCCTGGGACCATGGAAAAGGCCTGTGGCATACTTATCCAAGCGGCTAGACCCCATGGCTGCAGGGTGGCGGAGATGTTTGAGACCAGTGGCAGCTACAGCTATATTGGTAAAGGAAGCCTCGAAACTCACCCTCAGGCAGGACTTGCAAGTAGTGGCTCCACATTCCGTGGAGGCACTGTTGCGAAACCCACTGGACACTGGCTCTCGAATGCTCGGATCACCCAGTAGCAGGTACTCTTGCTTGATCCCCCGCGAGTCAGTTTTCTCAAAATGGTGGCACTAAACCCTGCTACCCTGTTGCCTGATAACGACCCCGAGAAGCCCCTCCATGACTGCACTGAAACCCTGCCCTCGCTCAAGAACCTTTGAGAGGACCTGACGGACCAGCCCCTGCCAGACCCTGACGAGTCCCTATACACTGATGGAAGCAGTTTTGTGGTTGAAGGGACCAGGTATGCAGGAGCAGCGGTCGTGACAGCTGACAAGGTAATCTGGGCGCAGGCACTGGGGCACGGGACATCAACTCAGAAGGCAGAGCTAATAGCCCTCACCCAAGCTCTATGGTGGGGGAAGGGAAAGGCAGTGAATATATACACGGACAGCCGACATGCTTTTGCCACTGTTCTTGTTCACGGGGCCTTATACCAAGAAAGGGGACTCCTAAGGTCAGGAGGGAAGGAAATCAAAAATGTCCCAGAAATCCTTACCCTCCTTGCGGCCCTTTGGATGCCGAAGGCGGTGGCAGTCATACACTGCAAAGGACATCAGTCAACTGACACCCTGGAGGCACGGGGAAACGCCTTCGCAGATAAAACAGCCAGGGAAGTCACCCAAAAACCAGTGGGCCCCCTCCATATCTTACCAGTCCTCCCTGCAAGGGTCTTTGAGGAGACTCCAGTCTACTCAGAGGAGGATACTGCGATGGGGAAAAGACTCCAGGCAAAAGAAACATCTGGAGGATGGAAAGAATTGCTGGACCAGAGGCTGCTCGGAAAGGAACTCATTTCCCAGATCCATCAGAGTACTCATCTGGGGGGAACCAAGCTGGTAGAACTGCTTAAACAAGATTATTATATTCCTAAGCTCTTTCAGGTCTCAAAGGACATCCCAAGGAGATGCCACATCTGTGCACAGATAAACCCCAGGAAGCGGTCCCCTTTAGTCGAGGGAACCAGACTCAGAGGGAAAAGTCCTGGAGAGCATTGGGAAGTAGACTTTAGCAGTGGTTCTCAACCTTCCTAATGCCGCGACCCTTTAATACAATTCCTCATGTTGTGGTGACCCTCAATTTCATTGTTACAAATTGAACATATTTAAAGCATAGTGATTAATCACAAAAACAATATGTAATTATATATGTGTTTTCCGATGGTCTTAGGCGACCCCTGTGAAAGGGTCGTTCGACCCCCAAAGGGGTCGCAACCCACAGGTTGAGAACTGCTGCTTTACAGAATTACCCCCAGGTGTGGGAGGATATCGCTACTGTTGTAATGTACCCCGTGAATCACACAAGGATGCCTCAAGAAGTCTAATTAAGGAGTCACATTTATTGCAAATCCGGGACTATGAGGGGGCATTCCGCTCTCCCAAATCTCGCAGTACCTTACCCAGCCCCAACACCAGATTTATATAGGCAAAGATCACAAAGGTATTGATTACATCCCAGGGTTTGGAATGAGGAGCCTGGTTTGCAAAAAGCAGTTACAGAAGCGAAATTGAGCCGATTAGTTATCTACAAAGATTAATTATAGTTTTGGGTCTTGGGACCACTGAGTTGACAGGAACACATTATCTAGAGCCCTCGGGTTTTGGGATAATTGTGCTGTCCTGGTTCCCAGGTACAGAAGAATGTGCTTTCTAAAACCAGTATGACCACAACCAATGGGGTATTCACATTACAATCAATAAGGTATTCAATCAAATGGGATGATTTATATAATTCAGAAAATCAAAATAACTTTTCTATTGTTAAACAAAGCAAATAAGTACAGAAGCCAAACAGCAGGGTTAAAGTTAAACTATAGTTTCTACCTGAGATGATTGCTACCATACTTCATTCCCCACTGGTTTTATGTGCATGAGTCACATCATGGACTCATCTTTACTAGTTAGGGGATTGTACTGCCCCCTAACTACAAGTAGTTTGACCAAATTAATTTTTCTAAACTGCCTGCTTGGCACATTTAGTTTTCTATTTACTCACCCTACTTCTTTTAAGGGCATTCTCTATTCTGTTCCTACTCTCCTGTCCCCTAGCACAGTGGTCGGCAAACCGCGGCTCGCGAGCCACATGCGGCTCTTTGGCCCCTTGAGTGTGGCTCTTCCATAAAATACCACATGTGAGCATGCACGTACAGTGCGATTGAAACTTCGTGGCCCATGCGCAGAAGTCGGTTTTCGGCCTGGGCGAGTCTATTTTGAAGAAGTGGTGTTAGAAGAAGTGGGGGGTGTCGGTCGGTCGGGTGATGGGAGACGCGGTGCATGCAGGCCGTGGGATATGCAGCGTGGGGGAGGCGCGCGCGATTCATGCACGAGTTGAGTGAGCCAGTCGGTCAGCAGTCTCATTGTGCAGTGGCTAGTGCTAGTCGCATTCGCAAATCGCACGCGGGTGACAAAAGATAGACGAAACAAGTATACAAGACGACTGTGGATGGGAGAGTTGGAAGGGGTCGACCTCAGCGAATGTACCTCAATCAGATTGAGGACGT